TCCCTGGAGGTATATAAAAGCTGGGTATATGTGGTGCTTAAGGACATGGTTGAGGGGTGGATTGGCAGTGTTTGGTTACCAGTTGGACTTGATGATCTTAGTCTTTTCCAACCTAAATGATTCTCTGATTCTAAGGCTTTGAAGACAGCATGAAGCAGCGTATGGAAATGCAACTTGGCTTCGTCCTTCCTATCCCATGGTGCTGTGTTTTACAGAGTTGCAGGTGGGTCAGGAGTCAGTACCTACCTCCCAAATTTACTGATCTGAGGTGGAAAAATCATAATTTTATTGTGTTGTGGTGCCAGTAGCAAAAATTTTTTCCCTGCGCAGACGACATGGGGATGATCCAAATAACACTATTCAACAGAAAGGTGTCTCTTGAGTTACTTTTTCTGCTATTTGCTTAACGAATTGTTTTGCTGATAGCCTTTTTGGTGTTCTCCTTTCTGTAGAAGACTGGCAAATTCCTCCACTTCTTTGAACATCTTGATTTGAAAGTGGATTTAAAAAAAAAATTAAAGTGCTTTAAAAAGTGGCAGGCTGGACTGGGAGCGGATAGTACGGGTGTGAATCAACCCTAGTCTAATGAAGGCTGGCTCCCTGTGTGCGTGTGCCCTCTTGTCTGTCTAACCCCCACCCCCTTTTCTGGGTTAAATACAACCTCTAACTTGGCTAAATACAGGATTTTTTTGACCAAATGAATTTGAGCACCATATGATCTGCCTCCTCATGTTCCCTGTGCCCTTTGCAGGAGAAGGGAAATGTTTTTGAACAAAGTCTGCTAACAGAGTTGTGGGTGGAAGGAGGACAAAATGAGGACGTGAAGAACCACATATTTTCAACTGGACTTCTAAAACAAGTGACAGTTTGTTCTCTAGATAAAGGCACATTTGAGAGGAAAAACCTGAACAGTGAAACTGCAGGGGGTTTTTGGTGGGTTTTTTCTTAGGTGTCACAAAAATTCTTGTCCAAAATAAGAAGCTCTGAGGTTTGTAAGCACGTACTTTTGAAATATGAATACGAGACAGGCTGAATCCCAGGTGAGTCCTCCTGACACACAACAGAGGATCCATTTCGTAGATGCCAGAACCTAAAGGTGAGATTTCAGTGAAAGGGAACTCTTACATCTGGGGTTTTACAATTTCCTTCGATACAGATAATCTTGCTCCCATGTAGGAAGTCTGACCCATGTCAAAACAACCTGAGTTATAGCAGGGTGAAGCCTTTGGATAACTCATTAAGACATATGTCAAAACGCCCTAAAGATGAGTGCGTTTCCATGCTCAGACAGGGTAAAGGGAGGCTGAACACTGCTCAGAGTATTATTCCATAAAATGCTGGGTGGATGATGTGCAGCTTCATTTCTGTGTTTTTTTCATTTTCCTTATTTTTTTCTATTTTGTTATTGTCTGCTGTGTTAAGATTGTGTCTTCTTCAAATACCGTTAACCAAGCAAAGGTTTTTTGGGAAGAGGAAGCTGAAGGTGCTGTTCAGGGCAGACAGGGAGCTGGTCTAGTCACTTGCTGACAAAAGAGATTTCTTCCCCCATTTACAAATGTGTTCTCCTTCCTTCTTACCCTCCTTTTCCTCTTCATTTGCTCTGAAGCTCATCTGTTCAGAGGTTATGCTTACTACCAACCAAGCACAGTGTTTTTTTTTTTTCTCAGTTTAGTTTTTTGGTGGATTTAGTGGGTGGCTTGCTGTACATCGTGAGCACCGATGCTGGTGGGCTGGAGAGGATGGAAAGTGTGTGGCTGGGTAGAGTGGGCAATAGGGACTCTCCTGACTGTTAGATGAACTCAGCACTTACTGCTTCACACAAACGAAGGGACACCGCACACCCATGTAATTGTTTCCTGTGCAGTTTGAATTGGGCAAAACAAGCCCTTCCATGTGGTGTTCGGATTCAAACCTTGCAGTCTTTTTGCTCTTGTGTGAGAATCCAAAAGTAAAATACTTTGCTAAGTGAAAACCTATCTGTATGATTGTTTTGGCCAAGAAATTCAAATAGGGGAGTTAATAAATTTTAAAGGGGGAGAAATTTTTTGTCAACCTGAACCTTAAGGATGAAAACCAAAAAAACATCAGTTGAATTTTTCTGCTTGCTTCAAGAATTTACAATGTAGAACTTGTAATTTCTTAATTGACCAAATTCATGAGAGTAGGTTTCTCAATTTTCACAGTTCATATTTTGAGTCTTTTACGGTTTTTTGTTTTTGGTTGCAAGTTAAGAAGAATGAATTTTCAGCTTTTCTAAACGAGCTGAGTTAGTACTGAGATGTTCTTTCCCTGTAAGCTTACTTTTCAAAGAGAATCAATGATACAATTTGTGCTTTGCAGTCGTGCCTGCTTTTCTCATTCTTTTAAGAACTTCCCAGTACTGCTGACATTGCTTTGTGTCCATAGCTGTAAAAATCCACTAGCCGACCATCCAGTCATTGAACCATAGAAACCCAGTTTGAAGGCCTGGAAAACGGGCTTAGACATCCCGTAGTGGAGCAATAAAAGTACAGTTCTGAGGAGACTGTCCTCAATCCAGATGCAAATACAAAGAATACAGTACCCAATATATAATGAAAACAGGACCTTGCACAAGAGGCGTGTTACTAGTCATTGATTCCGCTTTTTCCTGGGTGCAATTCGAAGAGGTGGTTTGCTCTATAAAGCCTGGTTTGTCATGCAAGATGATGTAATTCACACCATGGTTGGGAGAGAGACTAAGCGTGATGTTTCTAGGGAAGGATCTGAGCTATTCCAGTTTTGTATGCAGAGAAGTGACTTATTGTCTGAATTCAGTCTCATTTGTTCCCTATTTAATAACTTCCACTTTTTTATTTTAGGGTGGTGTCAACCCTTAATGTATGAGATTTTTCTGGCTATTATTCTGCATCGAGTTTATAAGAGCTGAAAAAGTCTAATTTTATCGAGCTTGTTGCCTTCAGCTTGTGAGTCCTGGCAGCCCCCTGCTTTTTCCATTTCCCCCTCCTGCTTCTCCAGCACTCAGTACTAAAACAGCTGTAGCATTGGTTATCTACTTAAAAACCTTCCAAGAGTCCTGTGTATGCACACTTTACATTTTGGCTTGTTCAAATAACTTCTCAGCTATTTTTGACCACAGGGATTCTACAGCGCAACTTGAGCATCTGCACCCCTGGAAGACTGATGTGCGAAGTCTATGTTGTTGCCTCTGCTTTCCTGCAGGATAGGCTTCAGCTACTGACTCTGATCCTGACCATTGTGGTGTCCCCCCTCCCAGTTTCTCTGACTTGTATATTAAGTGGTTATAAAGTACACTTAGCTGTGAATCAGTTCTTCTGGTTTAAACTAATGTGTTTAACTCTCTTCTCTAGGCTCTGTTTTGGATATTATAAAGCACATTGTGGCCAAAGGAGAACACAAGACTGGTGTCCTGGATGAACCCTGTATAGCCACAATCCTTAAGGAGGTGCTGGAGGGGCTGGACTACCTGCATAAAAATGGACAAATCCACAGGTATTTTTCATTTTCCTCATCTTTGTCCCAAAAATGTGTGTTGCTGAAACAGAGCAGTGGGGCACATGCAGTCTCATCCTACAACCAGCTCTGAGGGTGTGGAAAAAGGAAAATAAAGGTTTGAGCTTAATCAAAACTCAGAATTCAAATGTGTCCATAGTAGCTGCTGCTTTAGGAAATACTAGGACTAGGCCAAGTTTGGGTAAGGTTTGGGGTATCAAAAGTTCTGATATAGAGAACCTCTTTCTAAATGTCAAAATTCAGCTGCAAAATGTAGTTGTTGGAGCTGGAAAACTTCAGCCAGTTTTGTTTCTTGCAGAGCTACAAATCACTGAGTACTGCACAAGAAGTGTTGAGCTATTTAATAAGGAACCTATTTTTGTGTTTTTTTTTTAAGGCTAGCTGTTAGATCAACATAGTGAAATTTGAATTTGGGTAATATCATTAAAAAAAATATGGAAAAAAGTAGTGGAAAAAACTTCTTCTGCAGGCAAAACCCAGTTAACTAATGGTCTGTGATTTGATGGATCACTGAGAGGTGTGGGTTTCTGTGCTGCTATGTCGTTTGGGAGGTATTTTTAAATCATGTTTTCCTCTCTGGTGTCAAGGTGTGGTGTAGTTCAGGAAAAGAGGATACTAAGTCAGTATGTTCTGCCGTTAAAAAGAATGAGATCTGCAATCCTAAATACGTGCTGAAAATAGAATATACTGCTTGTGGGTAATGTACATCATCCCAGCCACAGACTGCTGCTGGGAACAACAGCTGCTTCTTTCTTGGGAATTTCATGAGGTTGGTTGTCTTCTGGTCCAATGCCACTATAAGCATTGCTGCTGCTGTGCTGGAGTAAGTTTCTGTCCTCTTATGATAGCTGCATAAGAAGAGACAACTCTTTTTGCCAAAATGTTATTTTAATTAGAAAATCCAAGAAGTATTTATTTCATATTTTTGGTTAAACTGACTAACTTTTGTAGGTTGTTTTGGATTAAAAAGAAAGAAATGCTTGGAAAAAATTCTGGTGGAATTCTTTTCCCTGAAGTCTCAAATTTCGGTTTCCAGTCTCCATTAAACTTTTAAAAGAATGGCTGTCTTCATTGAAGACAGTTTTGATTTCCTAGCTGTCTGCTTAACTTTTTTTTTGTAGAGATAAGACTTCAGCAGCTCTGGGAATTCCGAGTACAGTAATAAAGGAATTTAGTTGCTGAGTAGATGGTAATTTTTCACCCTTGTCATAAGTAATTGACAAAACCACGTTCATCTGTGGCTTGCAGTTGATTTGCTTGGCTGATTTAGTTCATCTCCTGGTCTAATGAAATTGAAATCTATACGTTAAAGCAGCAGCAACCTGTTAAATTTCAGTTTTTCTGAAGATATCACATAGTGATCTCTGTATTGAAAGAGAGGTGGTTCTCCATTTGACTCGCTGTACTGAAACAACAAAACCAGTGGTTGTGGTAAAGATGATAGAGGATGTATTCATGTATGGTTTCTTTGGGTTTTTTTACTGCACTCAGCAAAAAAAAATGTTCACAGAAAGTCTGAACTGCTTGGTCTGAAGAAAATGTGATTCATATTGAATCATTTGGAAGCGGACTGAACCAAACCTGCTGCAACCATTCTCATCCTGTTCATTGAAGCATTGTGCCCTGATTTAGGGGACTTCAGCAACGAAATCAAAGCTGTGTCATTGCTGCAGCTTGCGGTTGTGCGTCAGCTACTTTGCATGGGTTGCATCCCTGTGTTTTGGGGCTGCTCCAACAATTGTGTAATGTTTTATCAGGGGGGAAAAAAAAAAAAGCGTTTGGATTACCTCATTGTGTTGGGACATGGTGGTCTGGGAAATTTGGAGAAGTGGTAATAGTAATGATCCAGAAGGAAAGTTGTGTAGTTTCCTACCTGTGATGCAAAGGATGCGTTTTTTTTAACTGCTGGCAGACAGCAAGCCTACATCCCTCAACGGGATGAAATGTTTTTCCTTAATGGAGTTAATCGTGCTGTCTTGCATTTTATCCAGATGTGTGTACGCTGCTGAGAAAAACACAGTTTAAAGTTGTAACGCAGATGGGACCTTTCCTCATCCATAGGAATAGCTGTATGGTTTTCCCATTTTGCTTAATTCTAGGGGTCATAATGTTGGTCATGCCTGATGGGAAAGGCAGGTGGAAATCTTGCACTCAAGCCAGAGATGCTTTAAGAGGAAGTGTTTAAAATAACTAAACTTTGGTCCCCTGGGTCAGCTGAAAGTATCTAAAGGAAACCAATGGCATCAGGCGATGGCTGAACGGCTGGATAGAGTGTCTGCAATGTGGGGCAGCTGCGGTTGGGGTGAGCTTCAGGCCAAAACAAGATTAGCTGGGAAGGGTCAAAATTGAAGGGCTTTGGTTAGACCTGGAACAATCAACCCAAAAGGAGCCGCCATCCAGCAGAGCAAAGTGTTCAGCTGGTTGCACTAAATATCCCGACTCCATTTGTCTGACACCTAGGAGAAAACGACTTGATAAAGTTAGAGAAACAGGATGGGTGAAATGAGTGTAATTAGTGCATCTGGCATTGGACCACCAGGCTGGTGGCAAAGCCTGAAGGGTGAGTATCTGGACCCAAATGTATTTTTGTGGACACCGCTGACCTGCACGGGGACAGCTTGTTAGTGCTGTAAATCATCAGTGAGATCAGAGAATAGATGTCTGACAGGGGAGCTGCTCGATACTTGTAAATTATGCATCATCTTAAATGGGTCAATTAAGTTAACACGTGGAAGACTGCCTTAATGAAATTCTGCTGCTGCTGAGTCTTACTCTGCGTAAGCCTGCCTTGAACTTAATGCCATTTCCAATTACAGTTTGGGGAGCTGGCTTCGCATGGAAGTGTAAATCCCTGCTTTGGACAGGAGAGTAGCCTGACAGTATTCTCCAGAGGAGATTAGAAAGCCAAATATCTAGTGAAGGCTTAAATTATATTTTTTTTTGTTTACTTTCCTAATTAACAGCCACAGCGAGGCTGAGACTTGAATAGATGTCATTGTTCAGCAACAAATGGTTAAGTCTCCCATGTTGTCCAAAGTGATTTTTTTTTTTGCATTTGTCTTGCAAGGGCTGTTGGGAACAGACAAAGGAGAAGGCAGAATCAGTTTTATTTTCATGAAATGCTCTATACCAAGGTAGTGAACACAAATAATCCCTGTCTCCTTCCAAAGCACTGCTGCCTCCCACATCTCAGGGCTGGCAGCTCTCTGCCTTCCTTGCCATGTGCTGGTCCTGGGTCATCTCTTCTGTGCCAGCTGCTGCCGTCCCTGGTGTGGGTTTCTGTGTGATCCCAACAGCAATCTGAAATCCTAGCGATCCGGCTCATGTTAAGTGAGTTAAATACCTGGGCAGCAGCCAGCGTGCTGAGGATGGAAGGCTGTACACGGGAACCCGTGGATGAAGCTGTTCCCTACGAATCTGCTTGGACATTTTCTTTATGGAGGTAGAGCAAGGCTGATGTGCTGCAAGGGGTTGCTCCCGTGCTCATCTTGTCTGGGCGACACACAGGGTGTGTTGCACCCCTTCCCCATTTGGACTCTGATTCCTGTGTGTATTTGGGGATTAGCAGGAGTTTGGTGAATGACTTCAAAATAAAACTAAAGCAAAAGTAACCCAAGAGGTTTTATTGCTTAAAGGTGCTTGTTGGAGGGAAGTTCAAGGCTTTTGCAGGTGGTGCTCTTTATGGCAGCCTGACAAATTAATCATGCTGATTAACTGTTACAAGGTCTCTCTGTCTTTCTCCCTATTTTTATCTCTGAGCTTATCTTCTGGTCATGATTAGCTGTTGTGTAACTGAATATTTCAGTTAGTCCAGTTGAAATGATACACTGCTTGAATATAATCAGATTCTCCTATTGCAGCATAATAAATAGGATCCTCACATGCTTTTTTGTAAAAACAAAGCTTTGGAAGTGGTTTAGGGTTGCATGTGCTTGAAACACTGGCATGGCAGTGATCCAGCTATTAATTTGTTTGCTGCTCCACTTCTTAGAGGGTGAGAGGTGCAACAGCACATTCGATCTGTTGAGTTAGATCAGCTTGTGCCCCCATACGGAGTGTTTTGGGGTTCTTTTCGGTGTCTTTTCAAAATCAGTTTCTGAGAGGGGCAGCAGGGTGCTGTGGCAGCTGTTTGAATGTTGCTTTGAAGAGCCCCTGAATACACTATTGCTGTGTTTTTTATGCCAAGTATATTAGCTTATTTTTTTGGACCTCAGGATGGTTTTGACACAAGATCAAAGTTTAATTGTCTGCCTCTTCTACCTGTACTAAGAGCAAATAATTTCTGAAAAAAGGGTGTCTGTATGTGAGCGCATACACATCACAAACACTTGTGCAGGGGGGTTTTGCAGGAGCCGCTTCGCCCGTAGCGAGTTTTGGATTTAAGATGAAGGAGCTGATGGATATATTTTGGCAGAACTCAGCTGTCCTACAGGATTCAAGCTTAATTTTCATGTAGCTGACTAATGTATTGATATCCGTGCTGGCAGGTTTTGTGGTTAAACTGGATTCCAGTATGCCTCTGATTATTTTGAGGACTGAAATACTGCAGTTCTTTTTGTTTCTGCAGCAAGACTGTAGGAGAGCTTCACAGCCCTCCTCTCCACACTGCTATAATCTTGTTTTGGGGAGTGTGTTTTGGAACTGAGGTTTGGTTGGAAAGGATTGAGGGATTAATAATGGGATGTAGAGCCTTTCACCTCTAATTGCCAGTTTGATTTTAAGTCAGGACACTAGTAATTTGAAAGCCAGCTATTGCTCAGCCATGGGAAGTGGACTTTTATATGCAGAGAAGTGTACTTTGGTCTCTTCTCCCTTATAGTACAGGATGGGTAGCCTTTAGAGGTAGTTGTTAATATAAATTTTAAAGCTTTAATTTGTCAACAGTTCAGTAGCCAGACCAATAGAAATGTTACTTTTGGGTATCTCTGTGGGAAGGAAGAAAAGATGCTGCTCTAGATTGTACTGGGAGATTTATTTCC